GTGGGTTGTTTGCAGAAAGTCTGGCCGGATGGTTCCGATCATTCAAGAATGCTTTTCCATCTTTTTACGACATGGACCCTTCTACGATTCAGGCACTGAACTGAGCAAAAGGTGGAGGAAGGATTGATACCAGAGAGAAACATTGTTAGAGAAATGAAAATGCAAAAAAGTCAGCCAGAAATGCCAACATATTTCTGTGAAGTTACAGTGAGCACGCTGCCTCTCCTGCCTTCTCTGCCCCCACTCTGTCACTGCTGCCTGAGACGGGACACCAGCCCTACTCTGCTACCGCCTCCTCCCCTTCCCCTTCCCCTTCCCCCTCCTCAGCCTGCTCAATGTGAGATGTGAGGACAACCCACTTCCACTAATGACAGTCACTCACCTTGGTGCTGTACAGTTAATAAGCTTATCTGTTATGGGTGTGTGTGAGAGAGACAGTGTGTGTTCATGTGAACATCTAATGGCTGTGCAATAAGAACTGTGTTGGTTGACTGTTTACATTATCAGTACAACTTCTGGTCAACAGGAAGCTATTAGTAGTTAAGGTTTTGGGGAGTCGAGTTATATGTGGATTCCTGACTGCCCAGGGGTGGGTGCCCCTCACCCTCGTATTTTCAACAGTCAGCTGGACCCGTGCATTCCTCACACATTCACCTGGTGTCCTGCAGACCCAACCCAAAGACTCCCCATCGAAGTCCATTTAGAGCACAGAGAAGGTGGCTCACCGGGGTCTCCTTGCACATCTCCAAGGAGAAGTTCTGCAAGAGCAGGACGAGAGAGGCCTTCACGGACAGGAGTGCGAACCTCATGCCGATGCAGTTCCGAGGCCCAGTCCCAAAGGGGAGGAACACGTAGGGGTCCAGCCCCGCCTTGTTGTCCTTACTGAACCTGGCATCAGACAAGGAGAGCATTGGGAAGATGAGCTGGGGACCATCCTTGATTTGGGGCATCACAGAGATTCAAATGATCAGTGATGGACACCGTGTGGTACGTGGTTCTCTTTGCTCTCCCCAGTGCCTGGCACCTACGTGCTCTGTTGTGTCCCATTCAATCAATTCCAATTCCTCGTGATCCTATCTTGTTGAAGAAGCAAAGGAATGAATGAGTGAATGAAGCATGATCAAATGAATGAATGAATGAGTGGCTGAATGAAGGTATGATCAAATAAATGAATGAATGAGTGGATCAATGAAGGCATGATCGAATGAATGAATGAATGAATGAGTGGATCAATGAAGGCAACACATAATGAGGCCACAAAGGCTTATGTGACGCCTGGAATGTGTAATGTGATGAGCCCTTGGTGGCACAGTGGTTAAGGTACTCAGC